TTTAGCAATGCGCTCAGCTGCAGCAAACGAAGCGCGAAGTCTTAAAATCTTCATAAAGAAGTGGAGTCTTAAAATCTCCAAACATGGAAAATCATCCTCCGCTATAGCATTGACGGCCCGAGCCAGCAGCATCAAGCTAACAGTAACGTCATAACTTTGAACGGCAACATTGACATCCAATAGTCTTTAACTCAATATTGTTATCACTAACACTACCGAGCTGGGGGGCTAACTGTTGGGGTCGGATTTCACTCGCTCAACATCAGTGTTCAAAGTTTGATTAACAAAACAAACGTATGCTGAATTACGTTGACATCCAGAGATTATATGGTTCCTAAGTCGTTGCTAGCCATGAGACAAGTCTTCTCCGGTCCTAATTCTTCTCCACTCGCAAGGCGAAACCTTCTCCACTCGCGAGGTGAAATCTTCTCCGCCTGCGAGGCGAAGTCTTCTGAGTCTCGATTTCATGCAAAAAAAAAGCATCAGCACGGGAGCCACCGATGACTCTGCCAAAATGCCACCGGAGACTCTGGCAGAGATGGCCACCGAAGACCCCTGTCTTTGCCTCGCAGGAAAGGTGTTGCCTTCACCTCGCAGGAAAGACCCTACCTTCGCTCCGCGGGAAAGACCCGAAGACTTCCTGCATTGGGCTTCAGTCCGAAGCCATTTGAGAGGATAAACATAGCAGCTATGAAGCGACGTCTTAGCGTCCGCGGGAGTTTGAAATCTCAACGCTGAAGCCCAGTCCAGATGCGAAGCCCACTTCGGCGCAACCGACATGGACAAAAAGGAAATCCGCAAAGACTTAAGAAACTGGACATAATCTTTGGTGGAAAAACCTAGTCGACTTAGGAAAATTATATATATCAATGTACAACCCTTGAGAAGGGGATCCGTAACTTTATTCATAAAAGCATATACAGCAATAACAAACGTTTCTCTTTGCTCATCATTTCTTTCATAGCTTAACCTAGAAATCTCTGTTTTCTCACGAAACCCTTACAAATCTAGTTGTGCTAGTATTAGCCTCCACAAGGATTTGATACCAAACTGAAACAACCCGACTCGTTTTTTTTCTTTTCGG